ATAATACATTTCCATTACAATTATATATAAATAGCCAAGGTAATATACTGCTTTGTTTATTCTCCATGCTTTCTCTAAGAAATGAATTATGCTTTTCAAAAGGACATCCTTCTAAGCAAGGGTTCATAATGAGACTTGTGTACCAAATAAACCATCACACATGCTAGCATTTCAAAGTCTAACATTACAAAAGTTTCCAAATTAAAGGTGAACAACTTTTTATATAAAGAATGTTATGGCATTTCTGCCTGAGATATAAAAACATAAATATGTCTTTTCTATATAATAGCCACAACAGACAAAAAACAGAACACAAAGTCAGTTTAATACATGGTAAATACATAAAAAGAGAAACAGTATTTGCTATCAACAAATTTATATAAGAAATTTTGATATTCTCTCCTAAAAGATAATCAGATTCAAGCATGATTAGAATTTTTTCTCAAACCATAAGACGTCGGGACTTATTTTATCACTTAGGTATTTAAATGGGCAACACTTCATGAACTCCACAAGGCTTATGATAATGGAGGACCTCTAATGGAGGAATGCTTACTTTATAAATCAGCGTCTTCAAAATATTCTCTATATAACAGTGTCTGCCTAATAAGCCTTACATAAAAGAGGTTTTCCGTTTGTTTTTAAGCATCACACAGCACACTTCTTTGGTGACAAAATTCTTTTTTCAAGTACCTCTATTAACTTTCCTTGGAACATACTTTGGTAATACTAGGGTGTATAAAATTTAAATGATAGTTGTTTTTTTTAAACCACCCTAAACAATCTGTATAATAAGCCATGTAGTATTCAACAGACACTACTTAAAAGAGTATAAGGGATGTCTGTGACTGGATATAAAAGTGATCAAAACACAAATCATTATGGTTTTCTCTGACTATTGCAAGACAAGCTGAGAGAGAAAACACCTATCAGTTATGACACTGACCTAGTTATTAATGTAGAATATGAAACATCAACCCAAATAGGAGTTTCAGACTATACATTTATAGAAACGCAGTATAAAATGTGCTTGATCAAACCAAAGCTATGTCTAAATTTAAGCCCACATTCCTTAGTAACAATTTTTATTAAAAGAAAGTACAGCTGTCTCTGTATTATTAGCCCCTTTGCTTTCTAAGCCAGCTGACCAAAGTTTGATCCAAAAAGAGACATCACAGCAGTATAGAAATTCTGCAATTTTCCTGGACTTCACCAACTTTTATCTCTCAGGATCCAATTTGAGAACACAAAACGCCCTATGATATGTCATCAAATATAGCTAACACTTCTCTTGTTTTTTTCAAGAAACTAGTTTTTTAAAAAGATACTAGTTGGAAGGTAGATGGAAATTTTAGTCATGTGAGAATTTAAAAGCACAAGTAGAATTTTTACAATGATAGTGTTTATTTTCACCCAGCAAAGTATGAAACGGCTAAGGAGACTTCAATGATCAGAAATTAGTCTTCTCTCTACCTCAAGTAAATAAGAGACATCAAATTAAAAAGTACTTGACTCTAAAATATGAAGGTTTAACATGGATAAAAATTCTGAACTTAAAATATCCAGTACTTTGTAGAATTATTGACTATCACGTCAATGAATACTTTACTGGTTCTCAGGAACATCAATATTAACAGCAGTCCAGAGCTTAACTTTGGTTAAGGTAAGAAAAGCTAGTTACTATACAGTCAGTAATACAACTCTCACACATTTGGAAGACATTTAAGAAAAAGCAGGAAAGCAGTCAAAGCAGACTTAGTAAAAAGTTTGACATAATGAACTTCAATCACTCCAGAACTTTGATTTCTACTGTCTTTAAAAAATATTGTTTTAGTACCTAGTAATTTGTAAGCTGCTATGATTACAGATCTGTGACTTAATTCATACAAAATTATAATTAATTCATTTAACAAGTATTTACTGAGCATCTACTACTATGGAAAAACAAAGATTAAAATCTATATGAACCCTGCTGTAAAGAAACTCAAGAGTCTAAAGTTTCTTAAGTAACTTAAGGAATGAAACATATACAATAGGTAGAAAGTCGTAGAAAGCATAAGAAATTAATAACCCAGTTAAAATGCAAAGAAAGCTCAGAGGAGAAAGATTATCTGTAGTCTGGTGGGGGAAAGAAGGGGGCAAATTAGGGAAGGCACTGATGATGAGATGTGAAGGGCAGGTAGAATTCAGACAAAGGTAAGAAAAGACTTCCATGAGAAAAAGAGAGAAAGATGGAAAGCCACAGTGAAAATAATTGGATTTTGCAGAAATGAAAAAAATTATAAAATACTAAATGATAGTACACCTACTCCTCATTTATCCACTATCTCATCATCCGACATTTCACATTTGTGACAACAGTAAAAAATCTACTCTCCAACTATTCTGAGCATTAAGGACGTACATCTGGCAGTAACATATGTCAAGGTGTGAGGTGGGGAGTAACGCTGGCTGTGATGGTTAAGATTATATGTCAACTTGGCTGGGCCGTGATTCTCAGTGGTTTGGTAGTTATGTAACGATGCAGTTTGGTAGTTGTATAATGATACAATTTGGCAGTTATGTCATGATGTAGTCATCCTCCATTTTGTGATCTGATGTAGTCATCCTCCATTTCTGCATAATGTCAATTTTCACATAATTGGAACCTAACCATGTTGATAAGTGAGAAGTAAGTGTATGGAAGATAGAGGTTCCAAGCTCTTGCAACTCAAATATCCAAACTAGATCAAATCACCAATAAAAAGTTTAACAGTGTACTACATTCTACTGATGCTCTATAAAATACTTTTAATTAGTAACCCAAGACCCCTTACACCTGCTACACCTACTTATGGAATGAGATAGTGAAACAAATTGTATTCATACTGTAACAAGACTACTTTCCTAATTTTGAGTGTACACGCATAAAGTTAGGCAAGATCAAGCACCCTCACTTTCCTTTTAGTTTATATACACAAGTAATACTCAAGCTTCATTTTGAAATCATGACATTAAAAACTCTGTTGGCCCGTTCGCTGTCATAAGATCAAAGCGTTCTAATCCCAACTCTGAATTACTGTGCAAACACCTTTAGTGTTCTGTGCCTCAATTTCCTTTCCTGTAAAATAAGGGGGTTAGATGTGAATGATCTCCGAGGGTCCCTTCAGCTTTAAAATCCTATACCCTGTGAATTCTATACCTTTTCTACAGAAGCCACCGTCACAAGGACAAGTAGCACCAAAAAAAGAAACAAAGTATTCTTCCTCTAACCCACATGTAATAAAAACCACCTCTTACTGAGCACCTACTAAGTGTCAGGCTCTATTTTTTATTTCACTTAGTCATCATCATAACCCTGAAGAGCAGGCACTTTCCTCACTTTACAGCCACCTCTTTCCTGTGCAGTCCAATCAGGGGATGCAAGGCCAGGATTCAAATGAAGGTCTAACTCCAAAACAAGTTCTAATAAGCCACACTTTAAAACTTGGGGTCTCTAACACAAATGCCAGACAAGTAAAATAAATGAGAGGGGAAAAAAAAACAAAAGCTGAAGAGGTAGGCCACGACTATGGTAATCTGGAGAGAGCATGTTCTTTTTTTTTTTGAGAGCATGTTCTTCTAATAGAACAGCTCAGCTATCTTACAGCTATGTGGGAATGAACAAGGGAAGCAAAATACTAGCTGTGTGTGTGCATGAGATAGAGAAAGAAAGAGAAATCTGATTTTCAGCTTCTGCTTTAAACAGTCCTAACTCAGATCTGTGCAGTTAATTTTAGTTGCATTATATACATTTCCAGAATTTCCATTTAAGTATTAAAACATGGGCATGAGGAGTGAAGCCTAGGCTTTACAGGCAACTGAAGTTGAATCCTAGCTCTATCTGTTACTTAACCTCTCTAACCTTCATTTCTTCATTTGTAAAATACGGATACTATCACCTATCTTGCAGGGTAGTTAAAGATTAAAGGACAATGTAGACTATAATGAGCTCAGCACAGTACCTAGCTCAAGGTAAGAGCCTGACAAATGAAAGCTACTATTATTCTCCTTCAGGATCCCAGTAACAAAGTTACGCCTATGAATGCAACCCAAAGTTTATCTTTAAAGTGACATACTATGCCACTTTTCTGTAAATCTAAATTATTCAGAAGTAAAAAGTTTATTTTTTAAAATGTCATACATACTTGTTTTCAATAGGCACTAACCAAACTTCAAAATTAAATTTAAACCTGAAAGATAAGCAACGATCAAATACTGTTTTCAGGGACTAAAAATTTTTTTAAATGACGCTGCAAATCGTGTTACCACGACTTCAGACCCAGCGGCTTCTGACCGAGATGAGTGGGACAGAAAGCAGAAGATGTGTCTCCAAAGCGGTTTGACCGCGAAAGATTCCCTACAACGTCCAAAAGAGTTATTTACCAAATGTCATCTATGTAGGTGAGCCCGAAAAGCAGGGTTTGAACTTATATCACCTGGAAAAACAACCTTCCTTCCAGTTGGAGACAGGAGCAGGTGGCTTTGTGTTTTATTCTTAGACACATGCTCCAGTCAACAGCTGGGTTTTAAATCTTCCTGCAGTCTTCCCCAACTCCCCGATTCCAGACCGCGAGGGAGGGAGCTGGACTTCAGGTTCCCTTCGGGCGGTGTAGACACTAGCTAAGGGAAGGTGGGAGGAGCCCCGGGCCTCGAGGGGCGTGGGAGACAGGTCAGGCAACCTCTGCCCCGGCTCCGTCCCTTCCCGGGCGGTACCACCCGAGGAACACCATCCTAGCTGGGCCTGCAGAGCCGCGGGGCGCGGCTGCTGTCAGCCCGGCCGAGCCGCCGCGGTGGGTGCTGCGCTGGGGGTGTGAGCGGATAACTCCGGGGTTTCAGGAAAGGAAGGGAGGCAAAGAGGGAGGCGGCGTGTGGACCCCAACCCACGATGGTGCGAAGGAGGCGACCTTCAAGCCCCCGAGTTCTCCGCCCCATTCTCTGCCCGGACCGTTCCCAAGTCCCGGATCCGTCGCTCCTCTCACCGTCTCGGCTTCGGTGTGCTGGGGTCCGGCACTCTGACCCCCCATTACCCCGCGGAGGAAATTCATGTTGCCGCTCAGTCACGGGTTATACCGGCCCCTTCAAAATAGAAAAGAAGACAACTTCTTCTGCCCTCCGCAGGGCCTGGCCCCCAAGCCCGCACTCTGCCTTCCCGGGCCGCCGCCACCACCGCCTCCTACTCGGCGGCCGCTCCAGCCCCCTAAGCCCGGAAACAGCCGCCACCACCGACCGAGTCACGCATGCGCGGGGACGTGGCATTACGTGGCGGCTCGAAGGGCGAAGGCAAAGGGGGAGAGTAGGCGAGAGAAGGCCCGCAGCAGGGGTCCTCCCAAGGCCCGCCCAGTGCCCAGGCCCCGCCTCCCGACGCAGGGACGAGCCTCCAGTCCCTCCCTCCGCGGGCCGCTCCTGCTAGCCCCAGCCACCCACGTGGTCGAAGCCCAGCCCAGCCGGTAGGAGGGGATCCAGATAGTCTGAGCGTTTTGGTTGGCAAGGTTTTTAATTGTCGCCGAGTGGGACTTACTGCAAGCTGTCAAATCTGGGGTCGTATTTTGTTGACTCGAAAGTGAAATTTTCCCTCGGCCGACGTGACAGGTAAGGGGTCCAGGTCCCTGGGAGCGTTTGTTTGATTTTGAGGTTTAGCAGTACGAGGCTTGTGGCCTTCTGATCTTCATAAATTGTATTTCTTCACAGGGCTTTGTTTGGTGATAAAAAGGGTGCTAGAGCCCCCTCATTCCTCAGCCACTGGAGGGCGCATTTTTCAGCTGTTGCTCTTCAAGCCTGCTAAAAGGAATTCCTAGATCTAAACACCAGGTACACCGCTATTTTCAAGTATTGTAAGAAGGAAACCCATTGAACCCTGCATTTAGCTCACTAGAGAAATACATTAATCTGCAGTGTCAATTTGGCAGTTGGTAGCAAAACGTATTTATTAACTCTCAACCCCTGCATTTGCAGTGTTCTTTTTTTAACATGGAAAAATGTCATTTCTTGAAATCAGCATGCCTTGTTCCTTTGACAATGAGGTTGACAGGTACACATCCTTCTGGAATAGTCTAGTTCGCTAACTGACTCATGCACCTCTCCATTACGATTCCCTGCAGGTCTCTATTCAGCATTTAAAATTGAACTCATCTTCCCTAGCCTCTCTTGAGGAAAAAAAAATCAATATACTTCTTCTACTGTGTGCCCTACAGTGATCAATGGTACCACTATCCAAATGATTGCCTAAGCCAGAGGAGGAAGCTGGGAGGAATCTTAGACTCTGGATTTCACCCTACTTGTCCAATAGTCAAGTCCTGTCGTTTCTGTTTATAAAATATTTTGCAAATAGATACTCTGCTCTCCATTGTCTCTGTCTCTGACATAGTTTATATTCTCATCATTTCTTATAATTATGGCAAGAACCTTCTAACTCCTCTGTCTGCCTTCAGCCCTGGCTTCCCTCCAGTCTGGTGTCCAGTCCACTGCTAAGCAAGCCCAACAACAACAAAACAACTGTTCATGTCAGTCTCGTTCATAAAACCATCTAGTGGTTCCCCATTCTCTCCATAATAAAATTCAAACTCCTTAGCTTGGCATACAAGGCCTGCTATGATCTGCTATGCCTGCCTTTCCAGCTCTTGCTTCTCCCACATAGTCAGGCCATCATTATGCCTAGATAATCCCTTCCCCTCTCTCCTCTTCTTCAACCAAACTACGGCTAGTTCCTTAACACTCAACTCTGGCATCATCTCCTGAAAGCTTTTCCTGAAATCCAAATGTATATCTATATACTAGCACTTTGCAGTTATTAATATATAGAAGGTACTCAATAAATGCTTGTTAAACTAAACCGTTAAGGGTAGGGACTATATTACTCATTTTTGCATCTCTGTTAAGTAGCACTGTCTCATAGAAGGTGATGTTGTTGCATCAATGAATAAATCATTAAAAGAATATATGAATATTGTGCTGAGGAGGAGGGTCCTTTTGTCATCTGTAAAGTGGAATTGTAGATAACACATATCACAAAGGTTGTGGTGTAAGTTCTTTTCTTAGTGCCAAGATTTTAAGCCTGGGCGGCTTGGAGAATGGTGGGATCATACTGCCAAAAATACTGTGTGCTAAACATTGTTCTCTTTTAGAACCAGACACTTGACATTTTGCTTCAAACATTTTCTATAGGGTGATTTTGTTGTGACCTAAAAAAGGTAACCAGTAAGTGCTCTGCATTTTTATCACCAAGTAATGTGTACAAAGACAACCTCACCCATTCCCTAAGCCTCACTCCTCCCTGAGCCCTACTCCTTCCTGAGCCTCACCTCATCCCTAAGTCCCACTCTGCATCATCAGGGATGAGGCTTCAAGATGGAGTGGGGCTCACAGATGTCTACTGTGCGTATTATTTGATGATAAATAACAGAGCCTTGACATGTTAGCGAAGTTGTACTAAGACACCAGCCTTGTCAAATATCCTGCTTTCTTTTAAACTTCAGTGTGTACAGTAGGTCACTATATTAGCTTCCTAGGGCTGCTGTAACAAAGCACCACAAACTGAGTGGCTTTAAGCAACAGAAATTTATTCTGTCACAGTTCTGGAGACTAGAAGACCCAATTCAGGGTGTTAGCAGGGCCATGCTCTCTCTGAAGGCTCTAGGGGAAGATACTTCCTTGTCTCTTCCTGCTTCTGATAGCCCCAGGCGTTCCTTTGCTTGTGGCAGCATAACTCCAATCTATCTCCATCATCACATGGTATTCTCCCATGTGTTTGTGTCTCCTCTCCGCTTCGTATAAGGACACCGGCCATATGGATATCCTAATGACTTCATCTTAACTTGATTACATCTGCAAAGACCTTATTTCCTAATAAGGTCACATTCACAGGTACTGGGGGTTAGGACTTCAGCATATCTTTTTGGAGGACATAATTCAACCCATAGCCAACACTAACAACTTAATGTGAATTTTCCCTTCATTTGACCTGTTTCTTCCCTAACAGCATCCCCTGGAAAGGAAGGATTATGTGCAGGGGGGATGGGCAGTTGGTTGCAGGGTCAAGTTCCCTGGCCTCTCAGTCTTGCTTCTGTTTTGGTGTCTCAGAATGGGGGTGGAGCTGCTTGCTACCTCTACCATCAACTGGAGCAGAGAGAGTGCAGTGGCTAATTTGTCCCCCAAACGGAGTGTGAAATGGAAGCAGAGGCATCATCACTACAGAGCAACCATGCAGTGGACTCCTTATTTGAGAGAAAAGGGGTTACATATTAATCTGCTCCCACTGATTTTATAGAGAAAAGCCAGGGACCATGTCTTGTTCCTGTTTGTATCCTTTAATCACCTCACGTAATTTTTTTAACATGGTGGATGTTCAAGAACCATTTGTTAAATAAAGAGAAAACATGAAAAAATTGTGACTGCAGGAAACACCATTATACTTCTGACTTTCATAAATTTAAGAATTCAGAATAAGAATGCTATGCATCATGAAAATACACAGATAATCCAAAATTTTGATTTGGGTAAATAAAAATGTTGTTTTTTTTCCTAATCAAAACCTGACAACAGGGCAACTAACAAAATTCATTTGTTTGAAATCCTTTTTTCTTTCACCAATTGCTTCTTTAAGATCTTCTAGTTTAATTGCTTTCTTTAGTGGCTGACCTTCCCCATCCTTTCTTACTTTCTCACTCAGCAATAACAATGAAATGTCATTGCACCAGATTGCTTTTTGGTTGGGGGTACAGCTGAGTGGAGTGTTGTATATACCTGCTTAGGAGTACAGATAGATATGATAGTTTGTGTTTGATTATGCAAATTTTAAAGAGTAGTTACTAGAAAATCAATGTCCAAAAACTTTGTTGATACAATTATGCATTACTACCCATTAACCAAACAACACACAGCAAGTTAAATTGATAATGATGAAGCTAAACTAAGTCATTTATAATTAAAAGCAAGACTAGCAGCGATTGAAATTCATAAGCAATCAATAATAATAGCAAGTACATAGATCAAAAATCAAACTAAACCTGTTGCTGTTGAGTTGATTCTGACTTATATCGACCCTATAGGACAGAGTAGAATTGTCCCATAGGTTTTCCAAGGAGTGGCTGGTGTATTCAAACTGACAACCTTTTGTTAGCAGCCATAGCTCATGGTAGCTCTTAACCACTATGCCACCAGGGCTCCAAATAGATAGATAGTGCCCCTTATTTGCTAGGCTCTGATGAAAGTGCTTTTTATAGAGTAATTTACCGTATGAGGTGAGTAGTGTTATTAGCCCTGCTTTATAGATGGAGAAAACAGGCATAGAGAGAGTAACTTGCCCAAAGTCACACCGATGGGAAGTAGCTGAGGCGGGATTCAAACCCAGCTATCTGGCTCCAAAGCCTGTTCTTATATACTGTGTTATCCTATTTCTCTAGACTCAAGACGGTGATTGTGCAGTAAGTAGGAGGGTGAAATTCTTCCTTTGACCTATAAAGCCTTCCATAATCTGGCACCTCTGTTATCTCCCTGGTCTCATCTCCTACTACATTCTCTCTCACTCCTCTCCAGCCATGCTGACTTCCTTGGTGTTCCTGAAACTTGTTTCACCTTCATGGCCTTTGCACTTGGTCTTTTCTGTGTTTGGGTGCTTGTTATTCCACCTACATATTAGAATGGCTCACTACTTTACCCTCTTTAAAGTCTTTGCTCAAATGTACAGAAGTCTTCCCTGACCGTTCTAAGTTGCAACCTCCACATACTCATACCCTGCTTATTTTTTTCTGTAGCACTTATTAGTCTGATACACTATTCTTCCATATTTCACCAGATCTAAGATGCCATCAAATGTACCACAGAGAAAGGAAAAAAAAAAAAAACAAAAAAAAAAATCTGCCAATTATAAGATGCCATCTAGTGAGAGATGCATCCCAATTTCAGACTTCATAAAATGTCAGAAATGTGCATTTTAGAATTCATGATATATATTTTTTACATATTTATCTTGTTTATTATCTATTTCCTCTCACCAGAATGTAAGCTTCATGTTTTAGTTACCTAGTGCTGCTGTAACAGAAATACCACGGATGGATGGCATTAAAGAACAGAAATTTTTTTCTCTCGGTTCTGGAGGCTGAAGTCCAAATCAGGGTCTCAGCTGTGTCAATCCCTTCTGTGGGCCTCTCTCCTAGTTTCTGGTTACTTCCATCAATCCTTGATGTTCTTTGGTGTTCCTTGGTGTCTTTCTTCCCCTGTGTATGTCTCTCTGTGTCTATTCTGCTCTTTTTATAATTCAGAAGTAAATAGGTTTGGGACCACCCCACTTGAGTATGACCTAATTAACATAACAAAGAAAACCCCTGTTTCCAAACAGGGTCCTATTTA